CCACCTACTTGTTCCTGGGACCACAATATGTACACCACTTCCCAGGAGGTTCTTCCAGATGGGAAGGTGGGTGGAGGAATAGCTCCCGCCTCCGGAGCATGAGAGCTGTTGTGGCCTAGGACCTCCCTTGGCTTCAAGAGCTAGGAGTACTTCCCCCACAAGCTTCAAAGGGAGGCAGGCCCTTTACCACGCACAGGCTCCGATTGTTGGGAGTGCTCCTCAGAACTCTTTGGGAGGAAGGCTGGGAGGATCTGATCATGTCTGGATTTCTGGGACTCCCATGGGATCCTCACCCAAGACCCCTATCTTCACAAATACGGATCTGCAGGAAGTCTCCTGTCCGTATTCAGGTCTCATTCATCCAAGTAAGACCAGTACAAGCTGACCCAGAAACTCAGCTTGAGCTGACTGAGGTGGGCTGCCTTCATCAGCTGAGGTAGAAGGAGGCACAGACACATTTTCTATTTGTCCGAACTCAAACCATGCTCCGCTCTGACTGGACTTTCCTCACTTAACCCCAGTTAAGACTCAGACGAGTCAATTCAGGGATGGTCAACCAAGGCAGACAGAGATTTACGAAAAGTGCTAACATCTCTGAGTTCTGCTTGGTAGGGTTTGGAGGAAGTTGGTGTGACACATTCTATGGGTTTTCCAAGAACCAGCTGCCACTGTAAGGCAATTCTAGGACCTAGCCATGTGAGCATGTCCCCGAGAAGATGTGGCCCTGGACACATACAGAGAGACGGCGTGGGGAGGGAGATTTCTCAGAGGACTACCAACATGACAGGTAAAGTCTCTCTTTCTAGCTTTGCTTATGGTGAAGATGGAACATGAATGGTTGATTATTCTCATGAAGAGACTGCAGAAGGAGGAAGTAGAAGCCACGGTGTGCTTGGGAGTCACTGAATGCAGAGACTGATCATGGGTCAGGGCTGGTGAGAGGGAGGGTGAGAGGGAGGAGAACAAGCACCACTGAGGAGAGACGGCCACATCACCTCTACTCTCCCAGGGTGCCCCCTGGGTGGAAGGTGGTGCCCAGTGATGGACAGGAGTCATGACCCTGAGGGAGATGAGTTTGCTGGAAACAGTCCACATTGCCAACAAAGATACAGCACTCGGGGCAGTCTGCAGACAGCTGAGGACCCCTGATTATATTAGAACCACTGGAGGGTCCATGACTCCTGCTGCCCACAGCCAAGTGCTCAGCCCTCCTTGATGTAAAGGTGTCCCTGAGGAGCTCTGCCTCTTCTTCCCGTGGAGCGATTCTGAAGCACTTGGTGAAAGGCAAGACATTACAATGTGCCGAGAGAGCCCAGATATACAGACTGTAGGAAGCACTGCTGATGGGGCAGGGCATGAGGGAGGAGAGGACACCAGGGCCTGGATGTTTGTGCCAGCCATGCATGATGGTCTTGGGATATGCTCTGTTTCTGCCACAGCTGGGCTGAGGGTGTTTGTCAATGTTTGTTCATTTGTAAAGCCAAATTTGGCAATTTTTGTTCCCTTCTCTTTTTCTCTGCTCTCCCTCCATGTAGCAGGCGTGCAACAGTTATGCCTGTGTGGCCATGGTGCCTACAGCAGGGCTGGTTGGATGGTCATCCAGGGCCTCTGCCTAAAGAATAGGCCTGCTGGGGAGCTCTCCTAAACTAGGGGTCAGAAAACAGTTTCTGTAAAGGACGAGATAGGGAATAGTTTAGGCTTTGTGGGTCATATATTCTTTGTCATTTCTGTTGTTTTTATAACAACTGTTTAAAAGTATAAAAACAGTTTATTCCTAGCTCCCAGTTATACTAAATGGCTGGATTTTTGGCCCACAGGCCACCTCAGTGGCCTAGACCAACCTCTGTGAGCCTAGAGCAACCACCCATGAATGTAGAGAAAGAAAGGGCACTGATAATGGAGAAGGGCTGGGAGGGTCTTCCACTGATGAAAAACCTCTTTGGAGAAGACTGATCATTAGATTCCCCTAGTATGAACTCTAACTCTACTAAGCTGAAAACAGAATAGGAACTGTTAAGAGGTAAACTCTGACATTTTAAAGAGTTTATTTGAGCAGGCAATGATTCCTCAATATGGGTCTCCAAGCCAGAATGATTCAGGGCTCCTTTGAAGGAGCATGTGGGGAGACTTTTATATAATGAATGGGAAGCAGTGTAGGGGAAATGTTTAATTGGTCAAAGTGGAGCAATAAGTGGAAAGTCCCTAGTCCGAGGTTGGCTGGTGGTTTCTGACCTGGTTGAGTCCTCAGTGTAACTGAATTTGGTCTCGGTTTGCTTCCATAGGAACCTGGGACACTGCAGGCACTGAGGTCTGATGGCCTTTCAGGTGATCATTTTAACAACCCCTATAAAGGGTTAAGGATTTTCATTCCTGTCCTTAACCCTCCTTTTTGTCATTTGTTTATTGGCATTCCCCATACTTGAGTTTATATGGACTAAAATTTGCCTCACATGTTTTGAAGTTCCTGTAACAGCAAAACCCACAGTAGATTATTAGTGAGAAGAGGAACATAGCCTTTGGGGCTGCATAGGGAGCTCAGTTCACTCCGTTGAGGGCATGCCCTATGGGAGATTTGGTGAGGTTGGGCAGGAGGCAGGGGGTGTCTTCCTGGCACCTACAAGCCAAAGAAAGCCCAGAAGCCCTGTGATGGGGATGGAGGGCAGAACTGGGCTTTACTCAGCTTTCGGAAAGGGCAGTTTCTGCTGGGGTCTCCTTCCTGCTCATGGACATCTCCAAGACACTCTAATGTAGAGACCCTATCTGGGAAGGGTCTCTAAGTGGATTCCCATTCAGGTTTTGTCGTTTTTCTTTTTCTAAGCAGGTCATTAGAAAAGTTTTGGAATGTCATGTAATCAGAAAATCCATAGAACGCCCAAGCTGTTCCAAGTGCAAAGAGGAAGTGAGTGAGTGCAAGATGCAGTCTGCAGAGAAGACTTTTGCAATCGGTGTGACTCCTGAAGTGTGTAGGGAGCTAGCCAGGGGCTGGGGGATCCCAATTTAACCGTGTCTGCTGTGACCTGTTTGTGAGAGTCATCTCTCTCTCCCCCTGGTTCTTAGTCTTCTCATCTGAAAAGTGAGATTGTTGAACGATATGATCTTTCTCATTCTTGTAATTCTCACTGTAAAATTTATGATTTTAACTTCCCATTGCTGCTTTTTATTTTCTTCTAAGTGAATGGTTCCAAAGTAAATTGAACATTTACAATTTGATCTTCTATGACTGTGGTATATTTAGGAGTCTCTCTCTCTCTCTCTCTCTCTCTCTCTCTCTCTCTCTCTCTTTGTGTGTGTGTGTGTATGTGTATGTAGTAAGTGATCAGAACACAAGTTCTTTTGAAATTATCCATGACCATCAAGAATGTTAGATTATCTAGGACACATGGATGGTCATCTTCATCATGTTTATTTTATGCAGCTGGACCAAAGATATTTTAAGATTGAATTAAACCATTAATTATTCTTCATAGTACTTTTAGCATTGCTTAAAAGGACATAGCAGAGCTTTGTAAAAAAGGAGTCTAGAAATATTTTCTGTGGCTGAAATTTATAGAGAATATAAGAATGATATCTATTTTTACAATTAAAGTAAAAAAATTAGCCTTATAAAGGGAGAAAAGCAAGTTTTGCCTAGTTGTAAACTCTAGACCTTTGCCTATATTCTGATCAATAATGCCCATATGTCCAGTTTCTATCATAGTCATAAAGGGAGTCATTATGTGCTTGCCATCTACATTGTTAGGCAGCTCTTGGAACATGAACCTAAGACATTTGGCGTGGGTGTTTCTGATAAAAATTCATTTGCTCTTGAATCACACTGGTTCAGTTCACCATATCTTTCTTCAGCACGGGCCAGCACTCTGCAAATATACTATACTGGGATATTTGTCATGTGGTTAATGATTTGCATGCTTTCTTTAGAGAGGGAACGAAGAAAGAATGCAAAGGGATATACTTTGTTACTGGGTGGAGTAGATAATTTTTTGTGTTGTATGATTTAGTGATAAGGAAATCACCCATCCCACAAAATGTACCTTCCTCATATTAAAAAAAATAATACATGGATCTTTGTATAACTTGTATAAATGATGGCAGATATTTTCTTGGTACAGGTTTTAATAAAAAGAAGAAAAAGAATGTAATCATAAGTTTAGCTGATCAACTTGCAATGCTGACAGTTTTGCTAAAAGCCCTTTTTAAAAAAGATAAAAAATGATTTACCACAGAGATATGCAAGTTTTTCTTAATTTGCAACAGTTACTGAATATTTTATTTTTTCCTTGAGCTCACTGAAGACTCTGTCTCTCATGCTGTCTCTCCCCATGCCCCCCCCCCACCGAGAAGTCCATCTGAAAGACAAAATATTTCTCTGCTTTCCAGCCTTGTGTTGGCCACGGAAGCTGGCTGAGTTTCTTGCTCATCTTGCATTCCTAATTCCTCTCCTGTGGCCTTTCTCTTTGGTTTTGGGACCATTTCAGCTTGAAGCCACCTGAATCAGACCCAGCTCACAGCATTCCATCCTTCATGCCACCCTCCGTACATCCTAATCTGATGTCTTTAAGAGTAGGACTATCCTCTGCTTCTCATTCCTGACTTTTAAAAATAAAAACCAGTTCCTCCTCACATTCTCCCTAGTGCCCACTCTCATCCTCATTCTTCTCTTGTTCACTTTCTCTTATGTTGAAATTAGACTCTTACCTATCTCTTTATTTATTTTACCATTGTAAACCAGTGATGGAACTAAATTACCTTTATTTTGCCTTAGGACAGGTGAGTACATTATGTGGTTGCTGTCTACATGAGGGATCATGTATCTTAATTAAAAACCACCTAGGATTTGGTTACATTTTGATGAAGTATTATCACAGTGGCATAGGGCCTATAGCTAGTGTGTAGCAGCTCCAGACTGGAGGAAGGGTATCTTTGTTTTAGGTGTCCTTGATCATGAGGCTAAAATGGCAAAAATCTGGTAAGAAAGTCCAGGGCAGACTCCATGACGGCTCTCAGATCTCTGTGCGAAAGTTTAGGGTGCTTCCTGCCATCTTCTTCTGGTAGTCTTTGTCAAATTCTTCATTTTGGGCCACAGTAAAATAGTTCTTCCAGTCTCCAGGCATCCCTGAAACAAGGCAAAATCTGACTGATTGCTGCAGGAGTACAGGGAGAGGTGAGCATGCACTCTTGGAACCCCACCAAGAATGGAGAGAAACAGGCAGCTTGCCTGTCAAAAAATGTACAGTGGTGCTGCTGCAAATAATAAATAATGGAGCATGAAGCAGTACAGGAAAATCTACCCAGATCATGGGGACCACAAAGTTCCATTTGACATCTTAGACTACAAAGCTTATCTACCTTTCCTCATAAAAGGGGAGATGGAGTGGTCCATGATGCTGGTGGGCAAAGTGGTATAGTTGGCCATTGGATTTTGCTTCATTACATCAAAGGAGGTGTGATAGATGATTTTATTCAGAACTTCCTCTGCTACGTCTTTCTCCAGGAACTTCAGTGTCTTCTCAATTTCCCGCTTTGGGTCCTGTATGTGGAACGGTCACACCAAACAAATCATGTTGGGTCTTCCCTTGGGGATGATGTTCCATTTGGACAGTATTTTGAAAGAAATGAGTTAAAGGATCAATTCAAACATATTCCAAAAATATTTCTCAAGTGACTCCTAGTGCAAGGCACTGTACTGTCTCAGATGCTGCAAGAACACAAAGGTAAGGGCTGTCCCTGCCCTCAGGAAGCTTACCTTGCAGGAAGGGAATTAAACATAAACACAAACAACCACACTGCTGGTTGAAAAAGTACATGTTGCCTGCAGAGTAGTACAGGGTGCCAGAAGATTTGGTGAGAAGGAGCAATGATAACTCCTGGGAGAGATGAGGGATGGTTGTGTGAAGGAGGAACAATGTTGGTGGTGAAGCATAGTGTGACTAACTCTAGTATTTGGACTACAATAGATGGCAAAAAGAACCTGTTAATTTAATAGAAGTTCACTAAGAGGAGGAATAAAATGAATCTCAAGTTGACCCAGAAATATAAATCCTTATTTCTTGGATCCTTTTCATCAAAGAGATACAGAAAGAGAGAAAGCTATAGCTTTTGATTAAATTTCCAAGGACATCTTAGATGCTACTTTTTAAATTCTAGGATGCTGATGCACTGGGTCATAAGAGTGAGTTTGTGCAGCCACTCATACACCATGGTTTGAAATTCAGAAATCAGTCCACTGTCCCAATATATGGGATGAATCCTACCAGTGTTTATGTGGAGTAAACTTTACTTTATGATATGGGGTTGAGGTGTACAAGAGGGAGAAGGAAGCTAAATTTCTTGAACACAACTATGTACACTTTACAAATGTGATAGTGTAAATCTTTAAAAAGATATCATGAGATACACATATACACGTGATATCGCTTTGTAGATAAATGTATCTGGCTTATAAGTATCAGGATCCAGCAGATTGATTCAACTATAAAGCATGTGCTATTTCCTGTGGAAGAAGAATCTTTTGAAAACTGTATTAAAGCAAAGAAAATTTAGAATACCAAAAAAGTAGTTAGACCTTTGAGGATAAAACTGAGTTGCAAAGAGTGTTATGGACTTGCACTGAAGGCTGTTCTGTAAGAAAGCCCATGCGCTATGGTTCTAAATGGGGATTGATGTATCCTAGGATGTGGGAGGATCTGATGGAAATGGCACTGCCCTCACCTCCTTCATGTCCTCGTAGAAGAGGTAGAGAATACGGTGCTGGTCTTTTGCATCCCACCATCCCTTTACGTGGTCATACCAGGAACCCCACAGCACTGAGGGGAAGGAGAGAGATAAGATGTCAATGCCATGATGAAACTTGTAAAACAAACCTGATTATTTCAAATAAAAGGGGACATTTAGTAAATACAACCAGAAGACCAAAGACCCTGGGGAGAATTCTCATTTACATAAGACAGGGATTTTTTTTTTTTAATTAGGATGATGATAAAAAGTATTCTGGATCCCTTGGCTTATATTTCCACCCTTGAACTTATTACTCCATGAAAGATTGTCTTGTGGCCAGGAATTCAACACCTTTATTTTCCTTGCATCATCACACAGTGCATTGGTCAATATTATACAATAAATATTGTTTCTGAACAGGCTGAAAAAGAAGACTTTTACTATGAAAAATTTATAAATACTGTGATATTTGGGCACCTTTACTCTCTTTGATGGTAAATAGAAAAAAGAGAGGCTCGCTGGGTATTTTCTGTTGTCTCTGCCAACTCCACTTTCCATCCTCTTCCTCTCTGCTTGGTGCCCTGCATAGTGTCCTGCATGGACTGTTTCGATGGGCTCCTTTGCCCTCAGGATTGCAGCTGGACTGTGTCAGTAAGAGGCAGAGGAAGGCGTTTAGAGGCAGAAGGAGAGGAGGACATTGTGTTTATTTCCCTGATGCCTTTCCTGTTGGCTCACTGTGGTTCACTGCTTCCCCCACCAAAGGCCTTAGCCCCTGTCAAGGGGGTCCTCTTTTGTCTCTGGAGAGATCTGGCTCCCTGCTGGTACTCTCCCCAGAATATGGTACTAGCCCTTGTCAGTTTCCTCAAACTCTGTTCATAGCCTTGTAAATAGTCTTGTTGTTAGAGTCTTCCCAGATGACCTGGTTTGAGTGTGCCATCTACTTCCTCACAAGACCTTGACAGATACAGCCATTCAATGAAAATTATCTTCCTTTCTGCTTTCAGCAGATGAATGAATAAGGAAATATGAACTCACAGTTTTCTTCCACTCACCTTTTCCAGCTTTGAATGTCTCAACATATTCCTCCCATGTACCAGGGTCAGGCAACATTTTATTCATTCTTGAGAAATGGTAGTAGGAGACCAGACAGTCCTTGGCATTTCTAGCCACATAGATAATCTGGAATTGGCCAGCAAGAGGAATGAGAAGCAGAGAGAAAGCAAGACAGCAAAGTATCATCCAGTACAGAGGACCATAATCTTAGAAAGCCTCTTTGTAGAATCTTGGACTATCCTATTTGAATAATTGAATGTTTATGCGTTTTCTGTGATCAAAGGTGACTATCCCTTTTAGTTTGCCTAGGCACAGTTCCAATTTATAGCTGTGGTCTTAGCATGATCATTAAGAGCACCCCTTTTCTATCACAGAAGTGTCCTAGTTTGGATACTACATGGTGCATACTACATTCACCCTAACTGTGATATTTCTGGAAGTTAAGGAGGCTACTCATGTTGTCTTCATCCATCTAGGATTCTATAAAAAAATACCACAGGCTGAGTGGCTCATAAGCAACAAAATCTTATTTCTCACAGTTCTACAGGATAGAGAGTACAAGATAACAGTGCTGGCAGATTTGGTATGTGGTGACAATCTGCTGTCTTGAGACAGTTGTGCTTTACAAGACATGAATCCCATTCAAAGGTCCTACCTCCTAATATTATCACTGTTGGGATTAAGATTTCACATATGAATTTTGACAGGACAGATGCAGATGATAGCATGTGGTATATTTTTCAGTGTGCGAAGGTTCCCATTGGCTTTCACTAAGCAAGGAATCTTAACTAGGTTCTAGGCTGGGAGGAGCTAAAGCAGCTAGCCATTTGGTTTAATTTCCATGATATGAATCCCAGCCTTACTGATAAATTATCACTTCTACATTCATTTGCTGATGAGGTTCAAGGACCCTTCAGGACAGTGCTAAGTCCATCCTTGGAGCTGTGCGTGATGGTCTTCTCATAGGATAGGCAGTGCGTGGTCTGGTGAGAAGGAGCTGATCTCTTGGCTTATTGTCCTGCTGACACCTTCCTCCCCTCATTACTCTGGCTTCCTTCCCATCCTACACTGTTGTGTGATTCTCCACAGGGCTGGGGAGGAACCATTCTCAGTGGCTTTTCAAGAATTTTTGTCCTGTGTCTCACTACGGAACTTCTGTATCCAACACAACCAATCATCCAGCCCTATTTTACTCTTAGTGAATTGCCCTAGGTTCTTGCTTTCCATCTTTGCTCACTCAGATGAACACAGTCACGCAGTCCTGCCATTACTCTGTTTCTCTGCTTTGTTTCTTGCTGCTAGATTTCTATCCAGCATTTATGAAAGCATTTATGGTATCAGAATATATGATACAAGTGTAAAGTCTTATTATTATGTACATATATTTTGTGTAATATTCCTTAATGCTTATGTTGGTTATTGCCTTCTAGGTATAAATGGAAATGGGAAGTCCTAGGCTAAACAGGGAACATATTCAAATGTACATTAGGTGTGGGGTCCAATGTCAAATACAATTTCTGAGAATCTTTTGATTCATCTGTATTCATTTTCCATTGCTGCTTTAACAAATTTCCCCAAATAGCTTAAAGCAATGTAGATTTATTCTCTCACTGTCCTGAAGGCCAGATTTCACTAGGTTAAAGTCAAGGTGTCAGCAAGGCTGGTTCCTTTAATGGGTCTGGGGAGAATTCATTTTCTTGTTTTTAGCATCTAGAGGCCACCTGTACTCCTTGGTTCTTGACCCCTTCCTTGAATCACTCCAGATTCTTGCTTCAGTTGTCACAGCTCCTATTTCCTCCCTTGGTATGCTTGTTTCCAACTTTTAAATACCCTTGTGCTGATATTTAAGACCAAGACAATCCAAGATAATCTCCCCATCTCAAGATCCTTAACTTAGTCACATCTGAGTAGTCCATTTTGCAATATGTGGTAAATCTTCAGGTGCTGGTAATTAGATGTAGCTATCTTGGAGTGACCATTTTTAAGTCTACCATACCATCATAAAATGAAAAACTTGGATTGAGCTCCCTACAATCATTTCCTACTCAAATAATTCACACCAAGTCTAAATGGAAGTACTACCACTGAGATGTTTACATTATTTAGAAGACCTGATTTTACAAAAAGAAGATGTTAGTCTGGTGACTAACAAAGTGTTAGTATGTCTTTTGACAATGAGTCTACAAGATTTGGAGAAAATACTGGTTCTTGAGGAATAAAATGAACATATAATTAGTGAAGATATTTATCTGTGGGAATAAACCAAGAAGTTTTCACACATCCAGGTGACCTGGGCATGATCTTAGGGAAGCAAATCAGCAAATCAGGGAAGTAAAGCAAGCAGATACTTGAAAAACTATTCAATTGTATTGTACCTTATTTGGAGATAGGAGATGGGCAAAATAAAGAGCTGGTGAGTCATGGAAGCTCAGAAGAAAGAGGAAGTCAAAAGCAATTACTTACATCATGTATCTGAGCACTGCCCCAAGGAGAGAGTATCTTGGTTAGATTTGACCATTATGGTTTTCTTGATAAATTCAGTCTAGAAGATTGTTAAGACTCTGCAGTTGTCTTAGCTGAAAAACACTTTTTAACATCAACTGACTTTCTCAGCAATCTTCAGATAACTGTGTTTACAAAGCAGGTTGCCCACAAAGAGATGATGTGCTGGTCTAGCTGATACAAGCATTTGGTTCTGCTGAATGGCTATACTTTTTATTGCGAACGTATAATTCAATATTTTGTTTATATTACACATTTCATTAATTTAAGACTAACTTATAAAGCAGAAATCAGAAGGAAACACTGGTACATTCAATGTACACTGCATTTATAGGATCTGAATTAGGAAGTGTCAAAATTATATTTTTTGAAAGCAGAGGAAGTAAAGGTGTAACAGTACCTAGGAGCTTGCTTCATGAGATATGGTTTCTGAGAGTCTGTTGATCTCTCAGTTGTCTATTAAGGTGTGTGTGTCGGAGGGGGAAACAAACTGAAATAAGACAAAATCATACTTCTCATACTGAAAGGAAGAGGAGCAGATTTTGGATACCAAGGTGTACATTATCTCATCAGGGCAGCCAGATGGTGGCCATGAACATGGACTGTTCAGATCTCTGGATGTGGAAAGCTTAAGTGATGGATAGCCTCAAATGCTGTACTCTGAATCCACTACCATGTTCTTTACAAAAACACATTTCCAAATGGCTGCTCTTGTCTAATGAGTAAACACAGCAGGCATGCCTACGCAGGTCCACTCTATGAGATATGGGACTCTCTGATGGCTGAGTTTGGCTGGAGGACTCCCCATCAACTTGGATGAACCTTGCTCATGGCTGCACTGTAGTCTGAGTCTTCAACTTTCCTTCCTTGCCTCTCCTTCATAGGGGTCAGACTTGCATCATGACCTTATTGTTCTCCATACTTACTTGTCTTACTCCACTTTTCACGGGTTTTCCTCCAAATAGTTTTCTTTCAGGTCTGACTCTGCTGGTTCCTTAGAGGACAATCTAAGAGATCACTCTTCCTCAGGAAATACCTGCTTGTTTCATTGATCACCTTCTTTGAATGTGGCTTAGATGGCAGTCAAAATAATTTTGTCTGAAAATTTCCCAATATGTACCCCAAAATAATATTTTGAAGGAAGATAAATCCAGAATGGAGTAGGTGGAAATGTGGGGTAAGGCCATCATCTGCCATATGGCTCCACTGACTTTCTTTTAGCGTCTTTTACTGTTTCTACTTGGAGACATTATTAGGCCATGCTAATCAAGTTGGGTTTGAAGAGTTCGCTCTTCTTACCTTTGAATTTTCTTTCCAGAAGGAAGGTGGTAGCATCTGAACAGGCAGATGAGTCTTCAGAGTTCTAGGAGAAGGCATTTTGTTAGCCAGATCCAGACCTGGGAAACAAGGCCACACCATTCAGCCAAACATTTCTCATCAGCTGCATAGATTTGATATTACTGCTGTGCCAATCATTTGAAATCAGATTGACCCAATAGTCAGCAATCTGTCTAAACTAATAATTTTTATGCCTATGTTTCCTTTCTGATGACAGCTTTACTGCTCATTCTGGTAGAGGAAAGCGCTCATGAAATATTGAAAACTATGGAAGTATATTACTTCCCGTACTTGTTGGGCATCAGTGTGTGCTTTTGTGGGCAGATAAAGATGGTTGATGAGAACAGCTCTGTAGCTCCAGTAGCTCTGTCTAAAGAATGCAAAATTTTCTTTCAACTTTTACTTTCAAGGCCATGAACTACAATAGCCATAAGGCATGTGAAAGCATTGTGCTGGGAAATATTTTTAGCTGAAAAACTGCCTTATAGGGATCAAGTTATTTATCCAAGTTAGTAAATGTGAAAGCCAGGATGAGAAATCAGTCAGTCTGTGAGTGTGGAGAGCCAAGGAGGAGAAGCTTTGTAAAAAACAGTAAAGAGACAAGAAAGACTTAAATAAAGCACAGACAAAGTCATTCCTGGAAATAGAAAGTCCAATGCTGACTGCTGAAATGCTGAATATAGGCTGGATGTAGTCATGTGCAGCACCAACCTCATGGAAGGGGCATGCAAATAAAGCATAAATGTCAGCTATGGAGAAGATAGCTTCTGATAGAGAATGAGATATGTAAGGAAAGGGAGGTTCTCCTTGGAGGTACAGCAGCAAAGGGATAGAAGGAAGCAAAAGAGAGAAAATTAAAAATTCTGCATAAAAGAAAGAAAGTAAAAGGATGCCAATTTCTGCTCCTCCCAACTAACCTGTACTAAGTACTTGTTAACAGCACTGCACAGAAGAAGGCAGAATTGACAGAAGAGGACGTTTTCAAACTAGAAACTGTGTTCATGAAGTAAAAAAAAAAAAAAAAAAAAAAAAAGATTTCATTGACACAAAGCTATTATAAAATCAGAGTCAAATAAAAAAAATCAAATCAAATCCCCACAGAATCAACTACAAAGTTGAAAATGAAAATGCAACATTTTAAACTAAAATATCTGGAAACAAACATTTGGGAATATGAAAATAAAATCTGAAATCAGAAGTACAAAAAGTAAAAACAGATATGGACAAAAAGAGAAAGTGTAAAAGATTTGACTGGACTCAAAGAAAGGAAGAAAATGTAAATTAGCATTAAAAATGAAATTATAAAAATGATAATGGGAAATAGAATAAAATGAAAATATAAATGCTATTGAAGAAAAGCATTAAACCAATTAAGACAATGACACAAGGAAAAGAAAGAAGTAGAAAGGTTCAGAGAGCAAGTGGCTGACGTTGAAGACAGGTAAAGAAGGTCTAACATTAGTAGAAGCTGGAGTTCCTGAGAAGAAAATGAAAACAGTGGAATAAAACTAGTATTTAAACTTGTAATCTAAAACAGTTTTCTGGAGAAAAAGACTGGAATTTATATGTTAACCATAGGGCATCAGGGAAAGTTGATTCATAATGATCAATTTTGAAACATATGGTAAAATTATTATATTTTATGATTTAAAAAAATTCATGCCTCATGCAAAATATGAAATAATCCTTAAGGCCAATGGAACCAAACTGGCATCAAACTCTTGAAAACATCATAAAAAGCAAGGAATCTGTTGATCAGCATTTTGAAGAAATTAAGGACAGAAAATGTGAACAAAAAATGTTATCTCCAAGCAGGCTGTGCTTCAAGTATCAAGGATAGACAAAAAAAGAAAAAAAAAAAAGATTTAAATGTGCAAGGACTAGGGAATATAGTCCAGATGTGGCTTTCCTGATCAATTAGCTAGAATGAGTTCCATTCAATCAAGAAATGACTTGGAAATCTTTGCAAAAAGGATCAATGGTGAATATTTCACATTAAATAATACAACAATTAAATTAATGAGGGTAGATCATGAGTAAAAGAATAATGTGTAAACTAACTGTATAGGTTCCCATAAAGTAGTAATACAACTCAATATTTGGAATATGATTATTTGCTATTGTATAATTAATGGGAGGAGTTATAGATCCTTTGAAACCAGCAGACCAGATAGTAAAATATTAAGTAAAAGAAAAGAGGAATTAAGGTTTTGTAAATGGTAATAATACGCAAGTAACCACTAGGAAAAAGAAATACAAACTTTCCTAAATACTAAGCACACCACCAAAACAAACAACCTCCCGCTTTTTTTTTTATAACAAAAAGGAAAATGAAAAGGATACACTAAATAGGGAAACACAGTAAATATTACTTATTACCACAGTAATTTGAACAAATGATGATATGACATAATTGTGACCAAACACATCAATCACATCAATAAATGTGAGTGGCTTAACTAACCTATTAATATTTTTCAAATTGGCTCATAAAAGAGAAGTCAACTATATGCATTGTTCAAGAGAATACCCTAAAACATAATAATTAATATAAGGTAAAAATAAAAGAATGGATAAACATATAACACACAATGAAAACTATAAGAAAGCAAAGATTGTGGAGAGCAAGATGATGAATAGAAGCCTCCACTGATCATGCCACCCCTTTGCCCCCACTGCATCCAATGACTATCAACTTAACAGCTATCTACACAAAAGAAGCACCTTCATAAGAACCAAAAATCAGATGAGCAGTCATAGTACTTGGTTTTAACTTTGTATCCCTGAAAGAGGCACTGAAGAGGTTAAATAAAATGATTCGAATTGCCAACAACAGCCCCCGCTTTGCCCCCATGAAGTGGTGATGTAGTGCTGAGAGCATTTCTTTGCACTGGGGTAGGGAGCGCACAGCAATTGTGAGGCATTGAACTCAGTGCTGTCTTCTTATAGCAGAAAGCAAACCCAGAAAGAACTCAGCTGGTGCCTGCCCAGCCCTAACCGGGGTGGGGGTGCAGGGGGGAAGAAATCGCTGAAATCACTGATTCCCGTGGTCAGAATTTCAGTTCCTGCAAGCCTTGCCACAGAGGACTAAAGTGTTTTGGGGCTGTAAATAAACTCAAAAGGCAGTCTAGGCCGCAAGGACTGCCACTCCTAGGAGAGTCCTAGTCTGAACTGAACCCAGAGACAATGGACTGATGGGGGCGCGTGACCTATTGCGATACCAGCCGGTGTGGCTAAGGGAGTGCTGGCATCATTCCTCCCCTATTTCCAGACTACACAGCTCATAGGCCCAAAAGGGATCTGTTATTTCCGCTTGAGGAGATCTGTTATTTCCACTTGAGGAGAGAAGAGGGAAGAGTGGGGTGGAGTCTTGCATTTTGAATACCAGCTTAGTCACGGCAGAATAGGGTACAGGTCAGAGTTTTAAGGCTTCCCTTCCAGGACCTAGCTCCCAGACATTTCTAGACACACTTTGGGCCAGAAGGGAGTCTGCTACCTTAAAGGGAAGGACCTTTAAGAATGAGTCCTGGCAGCATTCATTTCCTGCTAACTGAAAAGTCCCTGGGCCCCAAGTAACCTGCAGCAATTTTCAGGTACTATGTTGAGGGCCTTGAATGAGACCTTGAGGCATGCTGGCTTCAGGTACCAGCTCGGCCACGGTGGAGTACAGCACCAAGCAGTCTGTTGGAGACTCTGATTCCAGAACTTGGCTCTTGGATGACATTTCTGGACCTTCCCTGGGGCAGAGGGGAGCCCACTTCCCTGAAGGGTGTATCCCAGGCCAGGCAACATTTACCACAAGCTGACTGAAGAGCCCTTGGACCTTAAGGAAACATCAGTGGTAGTCTGGCAGTATTCCCTATGGGCCTGTGGTGGCAGTGGCCATGGGATGAGGCTCTTCTGCCTTTGGAAAGGGGAAGGAAGAGAGGGAAGGACTACATTTTGTGGTTTCAGTGCCAGCTTAGGCACAGCACAGTAGAATATCAGGCAGATTTCTAAGGTTTTTAACCAGATGGCACCTCTGGAGCATGTGGGAACTCATGATAAAAACCCTAACTGGGTATAGAAGAAACATACCTCAACATAATAAAAGCCATATATGACAGACCCACAGCTAGTATCATACTGAGTGGGGAAAAACTGAAAGCCTTTGCTCTAAAATTTGGAACATGACAAGGATGCCTACTGTCACCACAGCTATTCAACACAGTACTGGAAGTCTTAGCTAAAGCAATCAGAAAAGAGAAGGAAATAAAAGGCAACCAAACTGGAAAGGAAGACATTAACTTATCCTTGTTTGCCGATGATATAATCTTATATTTGGAAAAATATCAAGACTCCACAGAAAAACTGTTAGAGCTGACAAAAAAATTTGGTAACACAGCAGAATACAAAACCAACCATATAGAAATAAGTAGCATTTTTATATAACAACAGTGAATGATCTGAAAAAGAAAATTTAAAAGTACTCCTGATTATAATAACTACAAATAAAATTAAATACCTAGGAATTATCAAAGAACTGAAAGATCTTTATAATCAAAACTATAAAACACTGGTGAAAGAAATTGAAGAAGACACCAAAAAAAATGGAAAGATATTCCATGTCCATGGATTGGAAGAATCAATATTGTTAAAATGATCATACTACCCAAAGCAATCTGTATATTCAATGTAATCTCTAACAAAATACTGATGACCTTTTTGCATAGATGTAGAATAAACAATCCTAAAATTTACATGGAACCACAAAAGACCCAGAATACACAAGGTTATCCTAACCAAAATGACCAAAACTGGAGGAATCACATTACCTGACTTCAAATTATACTACAGAGCTGTAATAACCAAAGCACCATGATACAGGCATAAAAACAAACACATAGATCAATGGAATGGTATAGAGAACCCAGAAACAAATCCACACACTTACAGTGAACCATTTTTGACAAAGGTGCCAAGAACATACACTGGGGAAATGGCAGTCTCTTCAAAAAATGGTGCTTGAGAAAACTAGGTATCAATAGGCAGAAAAATGAAACTAGACCTCTGTCTCTCACTATATACAAAAATCAAATCAGAATGAATTAAAAACTTAAACATAAGACCTCAGCTATGAAACTACTACAAGAAAACATTAGGACAATCTTCAGGACATGGATTGTCAAAAAGCAGAAATGGATGAATGTGATCACATCATGTTAAAATGCTCCTGCACGGCAAAGGATACAATCAACAAAGTGAAGAGACAATCCATAGAATGGGAGAAAGTCTTTGCAAGCTACCCATTTGACAAGGGATTAATAACCAGAATAGATAAAGAACTTAACTGTGTGGGAAAAAGTCCAATAATCCAATAAAAAATGGGTAAAAAGATTTCAATGGACATTTCCGAAAAGAAGACATACAAATGGCAAACAGGCATATGAAAAGGTGTGGAACATCATTGATCATCAGAGAAATGCAAATCAAAACTATAATGAGATATCATCTCATCCTAGTAAAAATGGCTTATATCTAAAAGACAGGCAATGACCAATGCTGGTAAGGATGCAGAGAAAAGGGAACCTTTCTTTGTACATTGTTGTTTACAGTGTAAATTAGTACAACCACTATAAAGAACATTTTGGAGATTCCTCAAAAAGCTGAATATAGAGCTGCCGTAGGATCCATCCATCCCATTGCTGGGTATATACCCAAAAGAAAGGAAATCAGTATAACAAAGACATATTTGCAATCTCATGTTTGTTGTAGCACTGTTCACAATAGCCAAGATTTAGAAGCAACCTAAGTGTCCGTCAACAGATGAATGGATAGACACACTTTGGCCAGAAGGGAATCTGCTGTCTTAAAAGGAGTAAGACAGCATAAAAAAATAAGATCCTGTCATTTGCAACAACATGGATGGAGCTGGAGATCATTATGTTAAGCGAAATAAGCCAGGCACAAAAAGAGAAACATTGCATGTTGTCGCTTATTTGTGGAATCTAAAAATCAAAACAATTGAACTCATGGAGTTAGAGAATACAAGGATGGTTACCAGAGGCTGGGAATGGTAGTGTGGGTGTGTGTGGGGGATGTGGGGATGGTTAATGGGTACAAAAATTAGTTAGAAAGAATTAATAAGACCTACTATTTGTTAGCACCACAGAGTAACTGTAGTCAATGATAATTTAAGTGTAAATTTAAAAATAACTAAAAGAGTATAGCTGGATTGTTTATTAACACAAAGGATAAATGCTTGAGGGGATGGATACCCCATTCTCCATGGTGTGATTATTATGCATCGTATGCCTGTATTAAGACATCTCATGTACCCCATAAATATATACACTTACTATGAACCCACAAATGTTAAAAATTAAAAAAGAAAGCAAGGATTGTGATGCTATAAGATAAATTGGTATTCAACCTCAAATATGTATGACACAAAGAAGAAAGTTTATAATGTGAATGATTCCATTATATTAATAAAATATAGTAATCATGGATATCTGTGTACCACGTAATCCAGTAACCACTTTATAAAATGGAAACCACAGTAGATGCAAACAGAACATGTTAATCATAGGATGTTTTAACTTTCAGTGCAAAATAAGTCAACTGGAAAAAAGAGAAGATACAAAGTATTTAAACAACATAATATATTAGATATTTTGGGTAATAGAGAATATGCTTTCTTCTCAAGTAAACAGAAAATTCACAAAATAATGGTATATTAAGGCACAAATAAAACATCAGTAGATTTCATAGTGTTGACATTTTATAAACAAATCTCTTATCACAATGCAATAAAACTAGAAATCAAACACAAAGGCAAAAATCAAAGAAGCACTTTCATCTGGAAATTAAAAACTTCTACTAAACATTTCTGGCATAAAGTTTCAAAAATTCTGAAAAATGTAGTGAAATTAAATGTAACAAAAACACTACATATTAAAAACAAATACATTTAACATGATGATGAGATAAAAATTTATAGCACTAAACAAAGAATGAATTAAAATAAATGAATTGAATTCCCAAGTCAAAAAACATTTGACTAAATCTAACAGTGGTTTATTATTAAAAACTCTGAGAAAACAATGAATAAAAATAAACTTCTTAGTCCGATAAATCCCATCTACAAAAAATCTGCATCTAGCATTATGCTTAATGGTGAAAGAATGAATGCTTTTCCACTAAGATCAGGGACAAGGCAAGAATGTTTGGTCTTATTATTTCTATTCAATACTACACTGGAGGCTCCAGATGATAGTGAAATAAGGCAAGAAAAAGAAATACTGTCATAGAAATCAAGCCTAGAAAGCAGAAGTAAAATTGTCTTCATTCAAAGAAGACATGATTGTCTGTGTAGAAAATCCAATATCCAATAGAAAAGTACAAAAAATCTAGAACTAATAAGCCAAGTTGCAAGATACAAGGGTAAAGAAAAAATCAATACATATCTGCAACATATAAATAAACATTAAAATACAGCAATATCAAAATATAATATTTTAATAAAATAAAACAATACTTATGATTAAATTTGACTAAAGATGTGACAGACATAATGAAGCTGTAAATCATTACTGAGTAAAATTTAAAATGTTCAAAATAATTGGAGACCAGATTAAATGCAATCCCAACCAAAATATGAGGAGACTTTTGTTTCTTTGTTTGCTTGTTTGTTTTGGTAGGAAATGACAACTTGATTAAAGTATTTATATGAAAATGCAAAGATCCTAGAATAGCTAAAGCAAAAAAAAGAAAAAAATGAGAGAGAGAGAGAGAAATTGGGAGGACTTATTTCTACTTAATTTAAAAACTTATTACCAAACTATAGGAATTATAAGACTGTGTAATATTGGCATAAAGATCGATACATCAATGACAGAAGTAGAATAGAAAATCCAAAAATATACCCACATATAAACAGTTAATTTTGGCAAAAGTTTCAAGACAATTCAATGGGAGGAAAGATTAAAAAATATTTTTCAATAAATGTTGCTGAAGTAATTGGCCCAATCAACAATAGGGTTTCAATAAATATTAGGTATTATTATTTTACAAATGAAGAAAAATTAGGCTTTGCGATGCTTAATGACTTGCTCAAGGTACCCAGATAAAAAATCTACATCAGCAGTTGAAAGTGGACTGTGTGATTTTAACATCAATGCCTTCTCACCAAAGGCTTGTCTCCTACTGTGAAAACTACTGTTTATTACTATTGGCTTTGTAAAAACATGTCCTTTATTCCCAACATGATTACAAAATATTCAAGGGTGCAGTCTATGTCTTGCATGTCTTAGTATATTTGCTGTAAAGTGTAATCATTTATGGCAGTACTTTTCTCCCCAGGTGTTTTGACCTGAACCTCCTTCAGACTCCTTCCCGGTTCCTTATGGACATAGTTTCTAAAAGGCTAACTGCAGAAATGATTTTCCTCTCAGGTGAAAACTGACCCAGTATAGTGGTTTCAACCCCGCAGGCCTCACTCGGGCAAACTTACCTGAGTTGAGAGGTGGGGGCAGTGTCCACTCAATGAAAGGATGGCGATCAAAGGTGTTGGCCCTCTGGCACTTCTGCACATCCCCATCATTTTGGATCATGTCCACAATCTCCTGTGTCCAGGTTGTGCCTAGAAGGATTAGTTATTCTCATCTTCACCCACTTGTGGTACAATTTAATTCTATTTTCATGCTTACTCGTGTATTTAGTTAATCTTCCAATTGCTGAGTGTTGAGCAGGATCAGCTCACCTACCTTTTCTTCTGCATGACCCCCAAGGTGAGCTGGGCTTCTGTATGCCATCTAGAGTGGGTGGGGCCTCTCCTCTGAGCGCCAGCCCCTATCTGCGCTCATTGATTATCATGGTCTGCTTACGTATTGGCTTCCTTGCCACACTAAGCGCTCTTTGGAGGTAGGGACTCATTCTTTTTTTCCCCTTTGTTCCTAGTACATACCATAGGGCTTTGTACCTAATGAATGTAGCTGCATGGATGAATATTGAAGCAAATAAAATTAGGGAGATATAAAGATGAATTAGCCATTGTATCTGCTCTAACAAGCTTACAATCTTACAATATTTTGGGGGGAGATAAGATGTGACAGAGACTGCTTCTTGCCATAGCTATTATGCATTCATCCCTTCTCTTTTCAAATTAATAGATTCTAAATTTTTAGCTTGGAATATAGCTATTTGGCTCAAAGGTTATATTTTCTACTATTTCTTACAGATAAATGTGGCCATGCCAGTAAATTCTGGTACCTGTCATGAAAGGAAAGAACATGACCTTCATTTCTTCCTTCCTATCTCCTTGCTAGTATTTGGAATGTGCCTGTGGTGGTTGGAGGCCCAGCAGTCATACTAGACCATAAAATCACAAGCCAGACCTGAGGATGGTGGAGCAGAAAGCAAGAACCAGGGTGGCTGATGACCAAGGCAGCCACTGTTTCAGCCCCAGGATGCCAGCCTCTTGACTGCTTTTCCTTTTGTGTTATTTTGGGTTTTCTAACACATGTAGTCAAATAGAATCTTAACTGATACAGAAGAGGACCGTGAATGGACATGTGTGTAGGCAAAAAGGTGGACTGCAGCAGAGAGACCTAATTGTCCACTAAATACCCATTTTGTTCTTACTACTTTTGATGTCTCTGTGGCTTGCAGCCAAACCTGACACTCACTGAAACATGAGACATATGCAGATAACTGAAAGAGAAACTTCCATGAAGGGCTGTAAAGGTATGTAAAGTGCTCTAGGAGTTCAGAGGAGGGTGGACTCACTGCAGAAGGCATCAGTAGAGCTCAGTGAAGGAGGGGGATGGTAGCTCTGAAATGAAGGGCTGAAGTGGGAACAAAATGTCAGTCTTCACTAACGAGGCATGGCATCCTAGGCAGGGAGCCTCAGGAGCAAAGACAAAGGCATGCATATTCCACACTGGGAAGGAAGGAGGGCTCTCAGGAAGTTGAGAGGTGGTAGGAGAGATGGGGAAGTAAGGCTGGGGAAGCACTGAGGCCTTGAGATGGAGGGCCTTGGGGTCAACTGCATAATTTCCCAAGTAAGCTGACACAAAATTTCTGCCCTGAGGTAATACAGGTTTACCTTCACATCTGGACAAGAGGAAGTGTCCAATGCAAATCAAACAGAAAAGAGATTCTAGAGAAACTGATACCTACTAATAGCAAGCCCCTACCTAAGTTTATTAAGAAAGCCCTGGCCAGCCAATGCTGAATTAGTAAGAAGGGAGTGAGGCTAAGGAGGGGAATTTGGAGCCAAAGAGAGGACAGAAACACATTTCCAAGAACTGTGGTGAAGGGGCCCTTTCCTGAAATCTTTCTGGTTATGGATATCTAGTGTTCTTCCTATTGAGTCAAGTGGCCACTGAGAGACTTGACCAAACTGATTAAAGTTCTTTGCTTTACTTGGTCACACTATCTGAAATTATATATTCAGATAACATGGGGATTATTAGTCATCATCACAGTCTTGCTGGTGGTGATGTTCCCTGCTCCTCCACCCTGCACAAGCCTAGAACACTCTTTGCTATTTCTGACTCTTGCTTTTTCCACAAACTCCTCTTCCTTTCATAAGAGTCTGGTAAATGCCAGCTTCCCTTTCTCACATCCTCCCCATCATACTCACATAGGTTTGGGCCCAACTCTATCAGTACTTTTCTAGTGGGGTGAAAGCATTCAGTTCCCCATCTGTCTCCTCCTCTGGGAGGAACTTCTTAGGGGCAAGGACTGTGGTTAATTCCAGGAGGCCTTAGCAGATGGGAGCAAAGTCTGGCTGGTTGGCAAGTTTACTGTAAGAACTTCTGTGCTCTTCACAATTCCTTCAGTCCTTTGGGGATTTGGGATTCTGGCTATCTCTTTTACAGGGACCAAATAAGAGGAAGATCTTGGGTCATAGTGAATTAAAGATCATAAGCAAGTCTGGTTTTTCATTTTTTTCCAGGGCCAGCACTGGTGAAAACCTGCATTTTTAAAGTGGGAGACCCATTCCAGGTGTCAGTGTTCTGCCTAAATCTGGCTTTCCTGCCGTTTTCTCATACCCACCTGATTTTGCGTAGGTTGCAATGAGGAGATCATCAGGTTTTGCTTGGAAATTCCAGATTTTGTCCCAATTATCACTAATCATTTTGGCCATGAGGATTCCATTCACTTCTTTAGTTTCTGGGTGTAGATAATCTTCCTCCAGATGAAGCTGTTTCATCTTCTCCAAGGACATCTTACGGGAGGATTGTACAGCTGCTTAAGACAAAAGTGTGCTGTGTCATTTCTAATACTTAGAACAGTAAGCCTTTTTTTTTTTAAAAAAAAAAAGATTATTATTTGAGAGATTCAGAGGAGACATATAGTGGGAATTTATTACTGTGTTTTATTTTAAGTGAGAGAAGTAAAAACTGTGGGAGCCTGAGCATTGCAAATACCTTTGTTTCAGGGTAAGGAAAGATGGCAAAGAAATAAATGCACCTCTGGTGGGGATGGACGTCAGGTAGGACCACAAACCTGGGAGATTTTTTAGCCAAGAGGTGCTTTGAGTCGGCTCATCAGCGATGCTTGAGCCCTGAGACACTAGCAGAGGCCTTGGCGTGGAGCTCAGGGACAGAGAGGTCACTCAGTTCACAGACTTTTGTCAAGTTTGAGCAAGGAATAAGTTACTTGGACTAATTTTGAGATACTAAAAAGATGGCATGATTTTTCCAGTGTGCAGAAATGTGATCTATGAACTATTCCAAAGAAAGCCTCAAAGAAGAGAGAATCTGGTCCTGCATGGGCATCCCTTTTCATCTCCCATCACTCCCTTGCCCCCAGGACCTGTGTTTTCTCATCATTGGACTTACTTCAATCTCCTAAACAACCTTAGCCCTTTTGTGATCCTGTATTTTGTCCTTATGCCCATGCTCTTGGGTAATCAGTCTTCAACTTGTTCTTTAAAACACTCTAAAATGTAACTTCACTAAGCTTTGATCATGTCTTTTCATGCAAGGTTAACATTTGGAAAAACTTCTATTTCGACTTAGACACTTTGTTCTTGAAGAGAAAGGATTAAGTCATTTATTTATGTCAAAAAGAAAAAAAAGTCAAATAGATGTACTCTGTTCCAGGGAGGTAGCACACAATGTATAAAGAGTTATCCTCTAAATTGGAAAGTGTACACCTGTTACTTGTTCATAACGTTTGTACCAAACCATATTTCTTTGTGGTATTTTATGAATGGAGGTAGGAAGAACCCCTGTCACCAGAAATATGACCTCTAGCACCCCTTACTCAGCAGACCCCTGCAGCCTGAGCATTGCAAATACCTGTGTTTCAGGGTAAAGAAAGAAGGTAAAGAAATAAGTGCACCTCTGATGGGTATGGACATCAGGGAGGACCACAAACTTGGGAGATTTAGCCACCAGTGCTATGTTGAGGGAATGTGGAGCTGAAGTTGAATCCTGTCACTGGGGACTTTCATGACATCCATGTATGTGTTCAGAGGGACACACTTTACCTTGGCTTCTGAAAGGAAGCATCCCTTTCACTAAATTCTCTGCAATCATACAACACTGGGAAGAATGATGCAATAGGCATCATAATGTCTCTCAAAAGTGTTTATGTCCTGATGCCTGGAAACTGTGAATGTCACCTTACATGGCAAAAGGCACTTTGCACATGTGATTGAGTGAAAAAATTTTTAGATGGGGAGATTATCCTGAATTATCTGGGTGAACCCAATGTAATCAGAAGGCGGGAGGTCATGTAATAGTGAAATAGCGAAAGAATTAATATAACTATTTTTGTATACGGGGCCTTTAATCCATTTTATATGTAGGCTAAGGTAATTTTGGATTACTAAGATAATATATAAAAATAACAATCCTGTAGTTATAAAAAACTAACTCTGGGATAAAAAACAACAACCTATGTTAACAACTATGTTTTGTGAAAAATTTATAAAAACATTGTGACCTGACCAAAGACAAAAAAGTTCTAACCACCTCACACCCTTGCTGTCACTCAGATTGTGGTAATCAGTCATCTCTTTATTGCACCCTCTTTTCTTCGCCCTTGCCCTTAACATAAAAAGAGCCTAAAGTTTGTTCTGACTTGAGATGGTACTTTAGGACAGTAGTCTGCCATCTTCTTGGTTTGCTGGCTCTCTTAAAAAAGCTGCTTTTCCTTTCACCAACTCTTGTCTCTCATGTTTGTCTTTTGAGTGGCGAGCAGCTGAACCTGGGTTTGGTTAAAACTATGGAGCCCAACATGGGGCTGTGTGCCTCCGGTGGTCTATCCTGCCTGGTTTTCGACAGATGGAGCAATTGTCCGTAGCAGCACAGCAGGGCTGCTACCTGGCAGAATTTCACTACCAGGCAGGGCAACAACCGCCTATGAGTGCCATCTGCTGGTGGTTAGCTGATATTGTGGCTAGGATTCCAGGGATATCCCAGCATCTGTCGAGAACACTTTTGTCTTGGGGATCCTCCCTTCTCTCTCCCCTTTGAGGCATCAGCTACCTACAATGCTTCACTGGTGCAAGGAGAAGCAGAGTCTGGGGGAGTCAGTGGACTGCAGGACTGGGTAAGTTGCTCCAGTTTGTACAACCAGGAACTCTCCCTCCATTTGGGCTTTTCCTCTGAATAAGCCACTTCGTGTTTGTATTTGATTGGCATACACTGTGGGATAAGGGACCTCTGAATAAGCCACTTCGTGTTTGTATTTGATTGGCATACACTGTGGGATAAGGGAATAGTTGCTGGACTTTTACCCAATTTGAGAACTTGTTCATTTGCATTTGTCTGTCAGTTATCTTTATGCACCCTTGCTTACATGTTTAAAAACACGAGAAAGTTCAAAGGCAAGCCAGCCTGTCTGAGACCGCAGCTAATTACAGGTTATAGCCCATTTCTATAGACATTTTGAACTGATGGACAAATTACAGCAAGAAAACTTCAGAGCTCAAATGGTTTACCTACAACTAGAGAGTTAAACAGTCTTCTAAACTCTTTCTTTCTTTATTTTTTTTTCCTGCCTGCTTTGAATCTACTGCTATTAAACTCCTGGTATTACGATAAACTCACTCTTTATAGTACCACCAATTCAAGGTTATTTGAGGTTTTGTTTTTCTTACACAGTTCAGCCAGTTCTGTAGAAAATAAACACTCATTTAAAACTAAATGTAGACAATAAACACTCATTTAAAACAAAAATAGAAGGATAAAAAAGATTTTTTAAAATCAAACTGCCATAAAAAGCACTTTAGCCAAAATTTTTGTCCACAATCTTTACTGAATTGCCTATTGACAGGTCCCAATTTTACCAAAAATAATTTGGATCTAGCTATCTTTTATAGGTCAGTGATTTTTGTGATGCTGTCTCATGGCAAGAGTTCCAAGGTAAAAGCTATTAAATCTTTGTGCGTATGTATATGTATTTCAACATCAGCTCCTCCTCCTGTAATTTCCCCCTCTAGTTCTAACTTGTGGTCTGAAGCTAAAATGTTTTATCTGAAAGGTCTAAAAAACCAATATTTTCCTCCAGTATAACTTGATTCTATACTTTTGGCTTTTCTTAATATGTCTAAATTTTTCTAAATAATCAAGTAACTTCTCAGACAATTTCTAAGAGTGACGTACAAGACCCATCGGTGTACTCTATTCAGGAGAACCATCTCACATGCAAATACTCACATGGACTCAAAATAAAGGGATGGAAGAATATTCACCAAGCAAATGGAGAGTAAAAAAATGCAGGGGTAGCAATCCTAGTCTCGGATACAATGGACTTTAAACCAACAAAGATCAAAAGAGACAAAGAAGGGCATTCCATATGGTAAAAGGATCAATGCAACAAGAAGAGCTAACTATCCTAAATATATATGCACCCAATACAGGAGCACCCAGATACATAAGGCAAGTTCTTAAAGACCTACAAAGAGACTTAGACTCACGCACAATAATTGTGGGAGACTTTAACATTCCACTGACAATATTGGACAGATCAACGAGACAGAAAGTCAACAAGGATATCCAGGACTTAAATGCATATTTGGATCAAGCGGACCTAATAGACATTTACAGGACACTCCACCCCAAATCCACAGAATACGCATTCTTCTCAGCACCACATTGCAGTTACTCCAAAATTGACCACATAATTGGAAGTAAATCGCTCCTCAGCAAATGCAAAAGAATGGAAATCAAACATTCTCTCAGACCACAGTGCAATCAAATTAGAACTCAGGATTAAGAAAAGCACTCTAAACTGTACAATCACATGGAAACTGAACAACTTGCCCCTGAATGATGAATAAACAATGAAATGAAGGCAGAAATAAAAATGTTCTTTGAAACCAACAAGAATGAAGACACAACATACCAGATCCTATGGGACACATTTAAAGCAGTGTCTAGACGGAAATTTATAGCAATAAATGCCCGCATGAGAAACAAGGAAAAATCTAAAATCGACACCCTATCATCAAAATTGAAAGAGCTAGGGGAGCAAGATAAAAAAACTCAAAAGCAAGCAGAAGACAATAAATAACTAAGATCAGAGCAGAAATGAAGGAGATAGAGGAAAAAAAAAACAACCCTTCAAAAACATCAATAAATCCAACAGCTGTTTTTTGGAAAAGATCAACAAAATAGACTGCTAGCTAGACTAATAAAAAAGAAAAGAGGGAAGAATCAAATAGATGCAATAAAAAATAATAAAGTGGAGATCACCATTGATTCCTCGGAAGTACAAACTACCATCAAAGATTACTACAAACAGCTCTATGCACATAAACCAGTAAATCTGGAAGAAATGGATAAATTCTTGGACACTTGCACACTCCCAAGACTAAGTCAAGAAGAAGTTCAAACCCTGAATAGACCATTAATAAGGTCTGAAGTTGAGGCAGCAATTAATAGCCTACCAACCAAAAAAAGTCCAGGTCGAGACGGGTTCACAGCTGAATTCTACCAGACATACATATTCTTTGAAACTATTCCAAAGAATAGAAAAAAAGGGAATCCTCCCTAACTCTTTCTATGAGACCAACGTGATCCTGATACCATAATCTAGCAGAGACACAACTAAATAAGAAAAGTACAGGCCAATATCCATGATGAACATTGATGCAAAGGTCTTCAATAAAATACTGGCAAACAGAATCCAACAGCACATCAAAAAGCTTATCCACCATGATCAAGCAGTCTTCAT